ACGGGGCTGTTGTTGAGGCTGGGATATGGGTTCTCACCTATTCCAGTAGGACTTGTTAGCAATAAAAACCTAGGGTCCCAGACTAGCCCAGGGATTGACACGACACCTCGTTCAATGAGTGACAGAAAGGCTTTATTTACTACAGGTATTTAAAATCAAGTCAAGTGAGCCCAAACCAAATCAAAGTCCAGTAATTAGCTATCAGGTGATGATTTCTCACCAAACAGGAGATGAAGAGGCCGTCTCCTTCTCTTCAACCTCTCGAGAAAGTGGGGCGCATCAGCAACTGGTATCAGAGAGATTTCTCACTCTTGAAGTGCATGTGCTGTTTGCTGTCGTACTGCCTTTTTATACCCTTAGTCCAGCATCTTCAAAGCATCCTTTTAGTTGTGTATATCAAGACAGAATCCCAAGCAGTAACTGGCAGGAAAAACCTGCTCATCACTGGTTATCAGAAATTTTTAATTTGAATGAGTTACTTTCTTCAGTAACAAGAGGTGATCCAGTTTGAAACATATCAAGAAACTGATTAACAGCCAGGAAAAACATACTAAAGTAGGAGGAGACATCTATTATGTATGGAGAATGTCTCTTCCTGCACAGAAACACGAGTTAGTCACAAAAGAAATATTTACCATGCTAATTAATCAAGGATAGACAGTTCATATGGCTATACACTAGACACCTAGGAGTGTGCTTGAAATCATTCTGAATATAGCAAGATAAGCTGGAAGAGATACTTCATTATTCCTTCTTAGATGGCTTAGCCATGAACTCACATCCTCTTGCAATATGCAGTTAGCATTATTATTCTGCGTTTTCACTTTTGTGAGTAGACACAAGCTTAGCATGAGTTTCAGAGTCATCAGACTGTCTGCGTGTGAAAAGGAAGGAGCACGGAGCGAGGCCGCAAAAAAGATGAGGCTTCAAGGAAAGCTGGTGGAGTGTTCTTCCCAACAGATAGACATGATTCTTGTCAATTGTGCAACTGCTTTGCTGCCTGGAGTCCACAGTGGGAAGCCGCCACAATTTCAGTGGGTTTAGGATGAGCTAGTGGCCACCAACCAGAGGCAGTTAAGATAGGACTGACTCCTCTTCACCTCTTTTTCCAGATTCTTCAGGCATTTTCCCTAACATCCCTTTGGACTCCAGAGGAATTTCAGTCAGCAGAACACGATGGCTCCAGATGGACCCTGACCTTTAAAACTCTTACACCACCAAAAAGCAGCACTGGAAGCTTCTTCACGAATGCAAGTGGCCAGAGCCTGGTCTCGTGTCCTGTCCCAGAGCTGCGGTTGCTCCAGCAGCACCCTGATTTTTTACAGATTTGGAAGGAACAGCATCGTATCGACTCATCTGTGTCACTTCCCTAAGCCACCTCCTAACTGCGCGGCAGTTTCTCACTCAGCCTCGAACCTATTTACCCCTTGAGAAACACAATTCATAATCGTAAGTCTTCAGACTTTGCATTCAGATCTGCTTCCTTTTTTCGCCCCCTGGTGTGAGATGAAGATAACACGGATCTCTGTTTAAGGGGGAAAATTCATGAGTTAACATTTGTTTAATTCATTCATGTTTGCAACAACACTTGGAAGATTTCAAGTGCAGTACTGATACTCCGTGTTACTATTTATGCTTAGGGTCTGGTAAGTGTTCAACTTGTAATGAATTCTGGGCTGCCCAGGAATTCGCGCGGAACTAATAACCTTCTTGAAAAGCTGTCTAATTGAGGCTAATTAGTCTGTGTATGAAAACATCAGTTTTATGTCTAATAACATAGCATTGTAAGAGGTAATGAAATATGTGTGAGGGTTTGTGAGGATGTTCTACACTGTTCCGATGACTGGTGATGATTTGGAGATGTTAGGAAGTGATCTGATTGTGAACACGTGTCCTTTTCCAGATAGCGGCTGCATATAGTCCCCGGGACCATTTCCATGCTGTCTCCACCTTGTAGTGTTACCAGATTTGCCCATCACCTTGGGGTGTGCTCATTTATTATGGACATATTTCTAGGGTCTTTGTCATTCTACCAATGTGCTGCTTGTGTTACTTGTGTTTCTATATGGAGCTGTATCTTTCCCTTCTGCCAGTCCTCACCCCCAATGGAGCTATCTTGCAGGACTCAGTTTCCATGGGGCTGGGTTCCTCCAGTCACCAAATCAGTCATACACACACAAACACGCACAGATTAACGTGACACACCTGACCCGGCTGGGTTGATCAGCACAGACAGGCTGACACACCTGACCCGTCTGGGTTGATCAGCCCAGACAGGCTGACACCCTCCTATGCCAAGAATCAGTTCATCAGAGCAACCATAAACTGCAGTCAGACACAAGCACACAGGTGAACAGACTACCTCTACCTCTGGCTGGGTGTCCAGCTGACACCCTTGTGGGCCAGCATTCAGCTCATTGGGGGCCATCTGAGCCAAACTGAGTCAATCAGCCTGTACAAGCTGATCCCCTTATGTGTTTCCAAATCAGCACGTCCCAATCTTTCGACTATTGATGAGCAGACCCCACAGTATTTCTGGGCTTCACAGGGATCTTTAGCTTAGGTAAAAGAAGCATTGCTGCAGAGCAAGTGGGGAAGGAGAAGTAGGGAAGGAAAATTATACCCAGTTACTACCAGTTTGACTATAAAAGTTATTTATTGCTAAGTATATGAAATATATAAGGTACTAGTAGTAATAGCCATGCAAAGGAAACAAACACAAACAATGACAATACTACCCTGGTTTCACTAATTATTTGGGGAAACTTAGCTCAAGCTTAACTAATACAGTTCAGGTTCAGAAATGTATGCCTAGAGAGAAAAGAGAAAAGAGAGAGAGAGCGAGAGCTGGGATTTCACCAGTCCAAGGCACTCGGGTTCCCATGTTGATGGGTAAAGTTCTTAGCATGATCCTTGAAGGGAGACAATCTGTTTCTTCCAGCTCCTCAAGAACAACAGTGGACAGTGACAGAGAGACTCCTTCTCTTGAAGCACACACACACATGTTTTGCTGCTTATTTTTTTTACAGATTTTTATACCCTCCGTTCAGCTTCTTCAAAGCATTCTTAATAGTGTAAATAATTGTCTTTTCTATTGAGAAGGGGTTATCTGGTTTGGAACATCTCAAGAAGCTGATTGATAACCAGGGAAAAAAAAAGTTTTTAAGGAGTAACCAGACACTTAGGAGCCAGCTTGAACTTCCTATGGATAGCAGATAGACTGGATGGGTTACCTCATTGTTTCTTCAGAAACAATAGATAGCTTGCAGCATCAGGGTTTTGGATTTTTACCTGTTGTGAACAAGCCTCAGCTTAGCATGACTTTTCCAGATCTTACTATAGTCTTTTAACAGAGTTAAGGCAATTATTGGAGTGTTCATAACCGTTTGTGGGCAGGACTTCCACCAGTCATCCTGGGAAAAGTATGACAACACTTATGGTCAGGGCTCCAACGGGCTGGATGCTGTGATGAACCTGTAACCACTGTTCAAATGTTGCCCATCCCCCTCTGACTCGGTCTCTTTGCCTCAGCATTCCCTAACCCCGCAACCGAGTTTTAGTGAATCAAGTTTAACTAGGCCTCCCATAGTGGGACCAGGGAATGTATGGCCCAAGATGCCTATTAAACTTTACTTCTGCTTAGTTCTGGTTAGATGAGGTGTGTGTGTGTGTGTGTGTGTGTGTGTGTGTGTGTGTGTGTAAACCAATAACTTCATGGGGCTGTGTAGTGTGTTGTCTGTGTAAT